TAGGCCACATTGTGGGAGGGGCGCCTAGTCCAGCCTAGAGGAGTCAGAAAAGAGCATCCTGAGCAAATTATATAACAGACCTGAGATGAGTAGAAACTGGACGGGTGAAGAGGGAAGGAAAAGAGCATTCAAGCTGAAGGAATGAAGTGAGGAAGCTTGATGCCTTCTGGAAAGTGCATGAACGTACATAGCACCAATGATAGAGCAGCAGAGTATGAGCTGGGTGGGGCATGCTAAGACTGGGGTGATCATTTGGAACCAGACCATGTTTCTAAACTGTTGATTTTGAACTTTATTCTGATGGCAGAGGGGAACCACTGAAGGAAGAGTGATGTAGTCAGAATTTCTTTTAGATAACACACCATCTGCGTTATAAAAATGAATTGGAGAACATGAAACAGGAGGCAGAGACACAGGTGAGGAGGCTCTGTGGACTCCATCCAACAAATGATGAGCCCTGAATTAAGAAAGAAGTTCAGGAAGCAAGGGATGGACACTTTGGTAAAGTCTGATTTTTTTTTTTATTAGAATTGAATGCACACTTTGGGGAGAATTAAAATGATAGACTTAATTTTTTTTAATGAAGTTAAACGCTTATTGAAAAAAATCAAACATTCTGAAAGTGTGTAGTGTGAAAACATGAATTCTTCAGGTTTTTTATTCAGTGGCCATGCAGATATACATGTAAGTCTCATGTGGGTAGGACCTTGTTCTTTGGTTTTTTGAAATTACTGTATTCCCAACATCTAGCCAAGTGCTGTCAAATAGAGAAAACTCAGTAAGTGTTTGTAAAATGAACTCATGAAAAAATGAGTGTGTGAAGGTTTAATTAATGGTGTCATGCAGTATATGTGTTTTTACTTTTGTTTTTTCATTTAGTTTTATTATGTCGTAAGCATTCTTCTGTAGTAGGGTGAAGCCTGCATTTTTATCTTTCTAATTAAATTTAAGTTAGCTCTCTACTGATGGACATTTAGACGATTTCCAAATGTTCAGTTTTACAAAACACATGCAGTGGACAATTTTGCATGAATATTCATCATACATTTATGCTAGGTTTCAAATCTGGGATTGCTTGCCAGAGGTTTCCACATCTAAAGCCAACAAATTGCCCTTCAAAAAGTTTCTTTGACAGTTCACAAGTTTATCAGCATGCCTCTTTCCCTATCCCCTTGTCAACACTGGGTGTTATCAGTCTCTAATTCTTGCCAAAAGGATGGTTAACAGTTAATATCTCTCTTTTTTTGAAGATTTATTTATTTAAGCATTGGGTACAGTCAGAAGCACAGGAGGGTGAGAGAATTCACCAGAGCCAGAGTGGGGAACAGAACAGGCAGACTGACGAAATACACTGCTGAGGGGAGCAGCGGGCGTGGCAGGAGAATTCTGCGCGCCATGTGGGACCCTTGCCGGTGGCCAGGGATTGAACCAGCGCTGCAGAGGCTGCGGGCAGCTTCGCAGCCCAGCGCTCCCCTGCCACCAGGGGAGGCCCTAATATCTCATTTTAATTTGCATTTTGACTTTTTAGTACAGTTAAGCGTGTTTAAATGCTTAAAACTTCTCTTTCTAAAAGACCATAAAGTCAGTGTTTTAATGAGAAGAAGAATTTATTAATTTCAGAAAACTTTAATGAAGTGTACCATAGTTTAGGATACAGTTCTCCTCACCAGCCTCCCTGTGTCTTGCTCAAGTGAGTGTGCACATGTGTGTGTATGTGCGCACACACACACAGTAAGGCACATATCCAGGCCAGGCCATTGTACTTGTTTCCATACTGACCTTTCACTCACCAGCAAAAGCTTTTGTTTGTGTGTTTGGAGAGCTGGCTGCTAACTCACTCTGGGCTCCAGTTCACCTCATTTATGAATCCTTGTGTTACCTGCTTGCTTTGTCATCAAAATTAGTTTAAAATCATTTTCTGTCAAATAGTTTTAGTCTAGTAAAACACCTAAAAAAATGCATTATACTCTAGAAATCAGAAATGTAGACAAAAAGTTGTCGTTCTTCACTGTTTTATTTGGGGGAGGCACATACATCTAAGGGCATGTCTGGCAGCATTATGAACAGCACTGGCACCAAGGGCAACTGTAGGGGGCTAATGGGGACCTTGCATCATTTCTTGCCATGTGCCTGGTGAGTAAACTCCTAGAAGTTTCTGGGAATGGTAGCAAGTGGGGAAAAGGCTGCAACCAACAATCAGTGTCACAAAGTGGGGATGACTAATTTGCTGAGGAGACCATTGAGACAGATGTTTAATTAGCTGAAGTCAGAGTGGATAAATTGGGAGAGGACTGCCTATGCAGAGAGATGCCTTTTTCCCTCATCTCTCATTTAACTGGTTTTGTTTTGTTGTTTTGGGTTTTTTTTTTTTTTTTTTGCCCTTATTTTCATGTTGATGGTGACATCCTCACGTTGGGGGGAGCCGGGAGAAGAGTAGAGAGAAAGTACCCTTAGGTTATAGCTCCTGAACACTTACTGTCTTTTACAAGTAAAAGTACTTTTGTGGGTGACCTTTACAAAGACTTTGTGAGATGGGCGTTCTCTCTCTTGTGTGTTACAAAACCCGATGCTGTGTGTGACGCATGCTTGTGTGTGTTGCAAATGTGTCACGTAGGTGAGATTGGAACCTTGGTCTCTTGATTCTTGTGCCCTGTGTTTCTTCCCTGAAACACAACTTCCCTACTTAATGCATAATACAGATGAGGGAAATTTCTGGAGCTGGTGTCATACAAGTATATGCTTTTGGCACAACTATCAAATGGGATTTGAAAGATTTGTGCATATCATTGTATATAAATCTTACCTAATAATTTTTTTAAAAAAAGAACATTAGTTAAGACTCTAAACACTGAAGTGTTTAGGGATGAAGAGCTGATGTCTACTCCTTTGAAATTCATTTTTTTTAAATAAAATGATAGATTGATGAATATGTGATAAAGCAAATATAGCAAATTATTGTAGGATCTAGGTGGTGGGTACATAGACTTTCCATGTATAGTTCTTTCCACTTTGCTGAGTTTTAAAATGTAAAATAGGACAGATCTCATTAAAATTAAAATGATAGAATTTAGAATGCTTATAGTAAAAAGAATTTCTAAATTTATTTTTTTTTTAATAAATTTTATTGTTATATTCCCCATACAATTGCAGCCCCCCCATTCTGACCCCAATCCCTCCCCTCCCACCCCCGCCCCCCTAAAAGTGTCTCTGGTTCATAGTTTTTTGTTGATTTTGATTTTCACTTTCTTATAGTTATTCATTTTCCTGGTCCCTTATTTAAGTTTTCTAGATTCCTGCTATGAGTGAGACCAAGGAATTTCTAAATTTAAAAATACGTGTCATTGTGGCATAGAAGACCCTAATCATTATTTCTTTTTCTAAGATATTTTATCTTTCATTACTTCAATATTAAATGGCACCTTTGAGGTCCATTGACCTGTGGTTTTAACTGGCATATAGAATATGCCACTTATGAATACCTATTACTATTTATTGAACATTCAAAATTTGCCAGGCAGACTTTCAAACACCTTTTTTCATTATCTTATTTAATCCTTAAAACAACTATTTGAATTAGTTATCACTTTTGTTTCATAAGTGGGAAAACTTCAATATCAACCAAAAAAACATCAATGAGAAAACCTCAAAGAGGATGCGGGGCCTGTCCAAAGTCACACAGCTAGTAAGTTGGGGAACCTGAGCCGCAAACCCAGATGAGTGATGCCTCAATTCATACTGCTAACTGCTGTGCTGTCCTCCTGCCACCGAGGGACAGGGTGACCAGCAGGTATACTTGTCTCCTACAGAGACCAAGTGCACCTGCTTCAGTTGCTTATGGCAGCATGATTCCGTGGAAGGGGCATCGCCTTTGGAGCCATACCACCCGAGTTGGCACCCACTGTGCTTTTCTCTGTGAAGCTAGGCACGTCATCAAACCTCAGTTGTCTTTTCAGGCAGTAGGGGTAATAATACCTACCTTACAAGGGGGTGTTTTGATTGAATGGATATGAAACAGTCAGTGGATGTCAGCTGCCTTTATCCCTGTTGCTTCCACTGCACCAGGTACACCATCAAACTTGGCTTTTTTGGAATTTGTTTTACTTCCTTTTTTACCTGTGAGACTGGGTTCTTGCCTGCACCTTTTGCTTCTAATAAATTAGTCTGTAGAAAGCTTATAACCTGTGATAGAACACACTTTTGAATTTGTTTGGATGTGGATATGCTGGAAGCATCTTTTACTTGGAACAAGAAGAAAACTAGATTCAGAGAGTCGCTGCTAATGCTTTTTGACTAACAAGATAACCCATACCATGAAAGTAGGAGTGGGTTAGTGATCACAGGGTCTTCATCATAGAGCTTATATCAGAAAATTTAATTTACTGTGTCAAAGATTCTGGAAATAAAGGGAACAAACTACAATTGCCTGTAACAAATGTTTACAAGTGATTTTAAAAAGCCTTTGTATTAACAGTTGAGTAACTCACAGAGCCTATTGCTTCTTCTCAGAAAACACTTTGAGAAGAAATGCAATTAGACATCAGTTTGATTTTTTGAGTGAATGATTACAGTAGTTAGAGATTTGGAGTGTTGCATCTGCCCCTTACATCCCTCCACACTGAGTCTTGTTTCCCCCTAAATGAAGCAGAATGCCCTTCTTTCTTCAGGCAGCCTGGGTTTATCCTTTTTGTAATTGTAAGGAAACCTCATCTTCTACTAAGACTGAGTTTAGCCACTTTTCATGAAAAATCGTCTCTTGGAAGAGTTACTCCACCACAAAAGATTTCTCCAGGACCCTCCCAGAGACCTGAGACACCGAATTCCCATTTCACTTCCCTTAGAGGCCTGACGCTGCAGCACACCCAGTTGAAAAGCAACTTTCCGTGGAGAGTTTTTCCTTTTTTGAGTAAATTATGAATACCAGTACTTTCTGTTGTGTATCTGCAGCAGCTTTGAATGTATTAAGAAGAAAAAGGAAGAAAAATAGGATATTTTTCTTTTCAACTTGTAGCAAGGATTATCAACCTCCACTCATTGGGCAGAGACCCTTGTGTCATTAGTAAAAAACTTGCCCCTCGTGTAGCACCTACACTTGTAAGTTCATCAGCCAGCCAGTGGCCTTAACTCCAAAGGATGTTCTTTTTCTGCCTTATAATGCTAATAATGCCCAGAGCCAAAGGTGACTTAACATCAGGACAAAGCACTGAGTGGCTCAGTGGGGCAGGTCACCTACATCTCTGTCTACCTCACTACTGGTCCCAGAGTCTACTGTGCCATTGAGCCAGGTTTTCAAAGCCAGTGAGATGTGATTAAAGCTTAATTGCTGCAAAACATAAGAGGTGGTTTATTGGAACACCTCAATCTTTCCCAAAGTGCCACCACATAATCACAAAAATAGCAAATCATAACAAACCCCAGCCTTCCTTTTCATGATTTTTACATGCCACATATAATGTGAATTAAGACAAAGTCAGATTTAAGCCTAAAAACATCCTGCAGGTCATGCAGATCTCTTGAGCAGCGTGTCCAAAACCAGACTCGTTCCTCAATACTTGTGGCACCTCTGCTGTGTCCCAGTCAGTGTACAGCTGACAGGGCCTGGTCCCAGGTAGCACTGAGCTAGTGGGGCGATGATGACTAAAAAGTAAATAAACCAACAAGACATATTTGGTAGTGATTCATGCTTCCAGCTTTCTGTCTGCCCATTTTCTGACAAAAAAGACTGTTTTGTGAGTTCCCCTCCTGAATGGATCCCTCTTGTCAGTCCCATCCTTTCCCCCCAACCCCCCATCGGGAATTAACTCCATCTTTCCACTCCAGCAAGTTATTCCATGTATCTCCTAATTGGCTGCCAACACAGCTCCCTGATGCAGGGAGAAGGGACAGGGCAGCAAAGGTTGGGTGAATTTTGATGAGACACAAATGACTCTATCTGGGTCAAGAATGGAAATTATGATGCATGGACCAGAATTCAGCCTTGGAAGATGCTAGAGAGAGCACTGTGCCTCAGCCACTTGGCCTTCCATTAGAGGAACGATGGGCCTGTCCCTAGTAACTTCCTGTTACACTGAGCTTGTCAGATGTTGGCAAGTACCTTAGCAAGGAATAGGCTGAGAACCTTCTTTTTCTTTGGGAGAGGGTTTGTGAGAGGAGTGTTGAGCTTTCACTTGAATAAAATGAAATCCCTGTGGAGAAGAACTGGTTCCTTTGTGTTTACTAGCACCTGGCATGGCCAGGCCTGGAGTTGGCCTGGAGCTGACATATTTTGTGGAATGAACTAAGAAGAAGCAGAGAAAGCTAATTTGCAGCCCATAGTTGCTTTGCTCCTGCCAGCCCAGATCCAAGACTGCCCACTATCTATATGGAAATGGATTTGGTGCCCTTTGACTATTGGAGATCAAAATTCCTTAGAGAATTAAAGTATTGAATGAAAATTTACATGTCTTAAAAATGATATGTGATGTACATCAGTTGAAATTAGCGTTGCCTCCTAGGGTCCCTTAAAGACCTGAGTCTCTGATGGGTCCTTGGGGGGCCGAGGAGTATACCAAAAACAACTTTTAAGCTTCCGATAATCATGTACGTGTACCCAGCAGGAGGAAACTACTGTACACATGAAGAGACTCCCTTTCTAAAACAGACCACATTCCCAAGTGGAGGTGGACGTGTATGAAAGAGGGGGTGCGTGTGCTAAATCTTCATCTTTCATAGTGGAAGTTCATAGATACTGTCAGTCACAATAATGTTTAACACCGCTGACTAGAAATACTAATAAAAACTGTGAAGGTGAGTACCAGAACAAGTATTTAGAAAAATTTAAACTAATTACCTAAAAGGAGGGACTTGGGAATGGGCAGGGAAATAACTCTTTTTCGTTATAGTACTTGTGATATGATTTACTTTTAAAACTATATATGCGTGTTCCTTTGATTAAAATAAATTAATTTGTAAAAAGAAGACAACTTACTTTCAAATTCTGGCACTTAGAAAGATTTCTCTTTCTTTCCCTTACTTACGTGGCCTTTCTCGATTTGGAAAATGTCTTCCTCCTGAAAGCTACAATCCATTTCATTGTGTTGGATGTCAGTTTCTCTGAGAACATCATTAATAAATAGTTGCCTCACATTATAAACATTTCCAAACCTTTTAAGACCAAATTGTTAGATGAGTGTAACTGTGATTTTGCCAACTTTTTGTCTCTGTGACCTGTATTTTCCATAAGTTAAAGCACAAGCTATTAGCTGAGAACTCATTCCCATTCTAAGAATGAGTAATATCTCAAATATAAATGAAAACAGCTGCTTTTCCATAACATTAGAGTCCCAAACAGCTGTCACATGTATATTTTGACATTCTTTTTTCTTTTTTCTTTTTAATTGGAACAAAAATTAGTTTACTGAATCTACTAATCTGGTTAAGCATATCATCTCCCTTCTGTGGAGAGGTAGAGGAGAGGTCAGAGAAAGGCCCACTGAGCTAGTGTAGCTGTCCCCGAGGCTTGAATTTACTTAAAATGAAAACCTCTGTGATGAGACCCTTCTCCTGTGCCAAGAACATAAGGCTTGTAAGGGCCTGGTGTGGCTGCTGCGCTGCCACTGCCTTTGCCAGCCAGCGCGAGCCCGGCTGACAGCCGTTGTTTACTCTGCAGCTAACGAGGTTGTGGAGCGCCAACCCGGGCTCAGGCTGTCCTGCAGCCCTGGGAGGATTTATCCAGGGGTGCCTATTGTGGGTCAGAAGGCCGTGCTCCCTCTTTTGGCCTGAAGCTGGTGGTACCACCATTGCCAGCTGGGGAGCCTTGGTCAAGCCACTGTCCCTTTCTCAGTTCCTTGCTTTTGTTTTGTCTCTCAGTAAAATAAGGTCACAATTAGATCATGGGCTATGGTGGTAGTCTTAATTATGAAGCTTAACACCTGGGCTCTAGACACATCTCCTGTTTCCGCTATTGTTCCTTTTCCAGCTTTGTGGTTGAGTTTCTTAGCCTGTTTGAACTTTATTTTCCTCATGTACAAATGAGAATTATAATATTATCTTCTTTATGGCATTGTTGTGAGAACCAGAGATCTGTGTCAAACACCAAGCATTTAACTGTTATTTTATTACTCAATAAATGTTAGTCTTGTTCCCTTCTTTCAGTTCTACTGTTATGAGACCCAGCCATACTCACAATCTTGTGGTAAAATGCTTCGTTTTTTTATGGATCTGACTGCTTTGAGTCATAGTTCAACAGACTCGAGCTGCTAAGGAACCCAGCTCAAATTCAGTCTGCTTAGGTACAACCCGGAATGTGTGTGCATCTGTCTGCCCAGCTGCTCATTTGAGCTCTTCCAGGGGTCTGAGGCCCCTTGTCAGAGCAGTAAAGCGTCAGTGAGAACACAGACATGCACATGTAGGAGTGACCTAGCATTCCTCTCGAGCACTCTGCATCTGGGGGCGGGTATGCAGAAGGGTTAAAAGCAGGAGAAACTTTTGTCATAAATTTTCTTTCCAGCAGGACTTCCCAGGGTACATCTGACATTAGCAGAGAGGAAGTGCTGATTGGCCTGGGAGTCAGCTGAAGGAGACAGGAGCTGCAGTGGAAGCTGCTGGATTTACTGTTATTAGCAAGGCAAATGGAAAGCCAGCAGGGCAGCCCCGCTCTTGGATAATAGATCTAACAAGAAGGAAAACTCCCAGAAAGGAAAATGGCTGGCAGCCATGATCCTTCTACCTCCTTCACGACCATTTTTCCATTGCTTTTACTTTTTGCTTTGTACAGTTTAGCACGAGACAAGCATATTTTAATGTTTTAGGCTATACGTCACAACTGGCTTAAAAACAAGATATATAAATCAGCTTATATGTTCAGAGTTGAACATAGTGCAAAATTGTATGAATATAGTAATAAATAGTTGTCATTTATTGAGCACTTACTATGTGCCATCTAAGTGCTTTAAGTGTGTTATTATCTCATTTAACCTATAAAACAACCTCATGAGTTGGGAATTATCATCATCCCCAATTTAGTGATAAGGAAATAATGCTTGGAAAGCACTTAGGTAATCCCCCAAGGTCTTAAAGCTTGGTGGAGCCGGCATTTGAACCCTGCCATTAAAGTCCTACCAATTTAGTGGAATGTGTTGAGGCAAGAGCCCAAAATACTGATGTGGGCCAGACAGGGTATGGCCATAAGCCAACTGCTTCCTGACTTGCAGCACAGCTCCAGTTGGTAGATTGGTAACGGTCAGAAGGAAGACAGGTAGAGGGGAGCCTCGTTGGCTGACCTACCCCACTAAATCAAAGCACAGGGTGGCTGGACAGTCAACACGGAAGGACTGCAAGGCCTGAGGGGGAACTACAGGTCCTGGCAGCAAGGGCCAGGCAAGCAGCTAGTGCTCCGCAGCCGGCGGTGGCAATACAGAGAGCCATGTCCTGTGTGAGGTCAGGCAACAAATAAGCAAAAGCCCTGTTATCACAGTCACCTCTGGAAAAGGTAATTTGAAATGTCTGCCAGAAGCCAATATATGGTAGTTTTTCTCTTTAATCCAACATAGCTAGCTTTTCTTCTCTTGCATTAGAACACATGGAAACTAAAAATATATTTTCTTTAAATGCTAAAGTCAAACTTGGCACAGAAAAACCCTCACACTGTAAGAAGAGCTAGAAAACAGATACCACCATTTCCCCAATTACTCAGTTAGTCATTCATCAGACATTTACCAAGTTCTGTGGTTGCAGAGATGAATGACTCCTGCCTCACTCTTGGTTGGGGCTCAGTGAGATACTGAGAGTCCTGGCAAGTAGATTCTCCAAACTATGAAATTGTTCTCTTGGTTCTGTGTCCCCCCCACCTTTTTCTTTTTTTGCCTTCATTTTTACGAAGCAAGATAATTAAATTCAGATCATTTAACTGTATATAAACTAGACTGTTGGGCACAAGAAAACCTGGCAGGCAGGTGGCATCAGTGGGTAAGCAGAGTTTTCACAGGGGCACACTGAGAGCCTAGCGGGGCACCAGAACTGGAGACATGAAGGCCAGAGTTAGGAGAAAAGAACAAAGCCTCGTTTGCCGCCTGAAATCCTCTTACCTCCGCGCAGGGCCTACCTGTGGGAAGAGTAAGCGGGGCCACCTAACTGTTGTGAGGATGGAAGTAGAGACC